TAATCCGATGCTTGCAATGTTCCGTGTATGGCATGCATTGTGGAAGGAATGTAATACGGTTCAAAATGTAGTGATGAAAGTGCAATCGGTGTTTGTACTGAGCCTGTATGCAGCTGCTGTGAGGTTTGACCTTCCATGCAACTTGACCACGAAGCTGTAAGATAATGAACATTTTCCTATAAACATTTCTATTGATATTCTTGCAAAAAAATTGACATTCTTACTGATAATCTCGTTACCTGAATTAAATCCTAAATCAACATTAATCTAAATTAGTTACAACCTCTATGCAAAATTGAAGATTGGATTCTAATAAAGAAACTAGAAAAAACAACCAATTCACTTTAAATTCCTACTTATTTTATAAAAAAAATGAGGAAAAAAAGCTATATTTGGGTAATTAAGCAAGGTAATTAGGCTTGATTTCGCTGATATGAAGCTTCATATCAGAAAAATATCAAAGCTGTATAATGACTACCTTTACATTTTGTTTTACTTAAAGAATATATGCTAAAGTTAGTGAATAGAAAAATAAAAACACCGCTAGCTTAGAAGTCTTTCTTTTGTTTAATTTCTGATACTGGGGAAAAAAAATCAGTGGAAGAACTACCAGAATTTGCTGTGCTCGATGTAGCAGACGTCCAAACTGCTGATGTTGTCGCTTGTGATACACTGCTGCTCTCAGAACGGATACGATTCATTTTGCTAGTAATCATCGTTTTTAAACGTTCCTTTGTTAGCTGAGAAATGGTCTGTCCAGAACCAGAATAAGATCTAGAAAAGAGCTACTTTTGGAGTTTCAATTACTATTAAGTATTTGATTTGTGGACTTTCTATCATTTTTCTGCAAACTATATCTTTTACCAATTAGTTGGACCGTTGTAGCAAAACTGTTACCTTTTATTTCTCAACTCCGCACAATCTTTGGCAGAAGGAGACGCCTGTGTATCACAATCCTCTGAAATATCCACAGCATTTAAAGAACTTGCTTGTTCTGAAGCTTTGGTATCTTGCAAAGACTGCTGTTGTTGTTTCTGTTGCTGAGATGTTTGAAGAGCTTGAAAGTAAGTAAAATGTTGCATAGCAAGGTTTGTTTGTGCTTGTTGGTACTGTGATAAGAGTTCGACTTGCTTCTGTTGATAAATCTGCAAATAGTACACATTTTCGTAAATCTGCAAACATCATGGGAAATTGATAATTTTAACACTTCCGAATTTCAAGCTGAAATGGTATTATGAAAACAGACATATTAAAAATTTCTTACTTCTATCTAAGCAGACAGTACAACATGAAAAAAAAAGAAATTCGTCCTTTCTCTCATTCTGAATTGCAAATGTCATCTGTGAATGTCAGCTAAGTAGTAGCACTGGCAGTATTATAGATGCATAAGTTATTTTTCAAGAACATGAAAGAATCAGTAATCATTAAGTTTAATTTGCGGCTTTAATTCAAATTATCAGTATAGTGGAAATTTGCTTCCAACGTTAACAGCTGAAAGAGGCTCTAAAAGAAACGTCTAAATTTCAAGCAAAATGTCCAACTAACTAAGACTTATCCAATAACAGAATAGATACCCGTTGGAGGACGGCTAATCGTTCTTCGTCAACTATATCTGCCGTTATCCCTAGCGGTGCTGTTGAAGGACCTTCTACTGTAGCTGTCGTATAGGACTGTTGTTGATTTTCCATAATGATGACTGCAAATTTTCTATATGTTAATGATGCAAATATACAGTTCACTGCCCCAATTACTAAATCAAGTTTGCAGTTGTCAAACTAGTATAAGGTTAGTAACCGAACAGCTTAACTCGAAGATATATGGCTTCCAATTTTTTATTTCATACAGTAAAGCGATATAAAGATATCGCAAAGATATCGCTTTATATCGAGGTCTTTTTTTTTCAAATTTTTCGAATTTTTTTCTTTGAAAAAAAGCAAACTCTTCGAGGTTTTTTTTTCGGTACAAGAATTTCAGTGAATTCTAATCAGATATCAATCTTAAAATTTATTTACCTCTTCGAAATTATCGGTCCAGTTTGCATTAGTGACCGTTACATTCGAAAGCGAAAAGTAAGCAGCAAAGAAATTGAGAAATAATGCTGAAAAATGTGAATTCTGAATACAGTGAAAAAAATATTTCACTCTCTAAACCTTTTGATTAGAACTGTAAGTAGCAATTCTCTTTCCTTTCTCACGAGATAACAGAAGACAGTAGCGGATTACAAATGACACTGAGACTTGTACAGAAAATGGTATGAGTCTAACTAGCCTGATATATTTTGACAGAAGCTAAGTAATCAAGTATATTCAATAAATTAATAACAAAACCTACTTGATTAAGAGATAGTCTATCATTCAGCTAAACTCGAATAAGGGAAGGGAATGTTGTAGTTGAAATTTGAGGTTGTGACAAAATTAACATGAAATTAAAACGTAAGTAAGTTTGTTAAGCATGATATGATCACTGGTACAAATTTAGCTCAACCCCTGCAAATAAGTAATAGTTATTCCTGTCACAATCTTCTGATTATATTGACAAGATAAGCTAATAATAAACTGTCTAGTCATGCTGGATCTAGTCATGCTAAGCTACCAGGTAAGCGCAATTAAGCTAAGCTGTTAGGTGGATATAATCACAACAAGTTATCAAGTGGTTTTCGTCATGCTAAGCTGTCAAGTGGATATAATCACGAAATAAGATATTAATATCGTGGAAAGAAGAGGAAGAACATTAGGAAAATTAAAGAATAGTAATGGGAAGAGAGGACCTATTGCGCCACGTATAGGTTGACGGAAGAAGCCAATAACACAGGTGTAACACTGATGACAAAAACGAGACCGAAAGTAGATAGATGACAAATTTAGAAACGAAAAAAAATGAAGAATAAAACGATCGGCTTCAACGGCACTCTCTTTCACGCACACACACATACACACACACACGCAAGCGCACACGCACACGCACACATGAGACACATATATTTGAAAGACAGATAGACAGATAAATAAGAGGAGTATTAGCTGGAGATAGAGGAAGCAGTTGGAGTAGATGGAGAGAGGTAGAGGTATAGGGGGTGATAGGAGGTATGAAAGGAGGGGATAACCTCACAGTTGTCACACAACTGTTGACTGTTCCTTGCGTGAGTTGTGAGATGGAGCGTGAGATGAGATGAGGTTGACGTGCCTTCTTTCTCTTACTACGCCTGAACTCTCATCATATGTCGCATCACGTCACCATCAGCATGTCAGGACTGATTCATATGTTTCAGCTTACACCAATTACTATAATCCTCCCTCTACTATTATCTCTCTTGTCGGATTACCGAAGTTAAAATTACGTAAAGTAAAATTTATGTAATATCAACCAGACAGGATGATGAAATCATGCGAGTAAAATTAAGGCGATGAGGAGAATATAAGCTAACAACGGAGGGATATCACAAAAAGATTTCAAAAAGCTTCTTCTCTAACCTTAGATATATCAAAAGAAGAAATTCCACAGGTAAGTTTTTACAATAAAACACACATTAGACCGTTTCTCTACACTTATTCATCACCTCTTCAATTACCATTTACTCTATCCCTTCCTTTCTTCTTTCATAATTTGACATCTATTCTGCAACCAGCTCAATCCTTATATCTGTTATTACGAAACCTATTATGAAAGTGACAGTCAACTATTACCGAAGACGGTGACAAAAGATTTGTTAATTAAAGTTGGTCACATTGCTTACTTATTGTATAACTGATTCCTGTCGCTGCTTACCAATTTATCGCGTGCTTCATGTATTTCTTATTATTGTTAATTAGTAATACTGTGTGAGTATAATATTACAACACGAATAAACCTTTATAGTCGATGGACGGATCAATAAATTAAATTCCTCGACATCTCTTCTAATAATTTTATTTGAAAGATGCTATTGGCTAGCTGTAAATAATTTCAAATTCCTTTATTAGATTAAATCAGATCAGACCATTTGCAACACTTGCTTCTTTTTCTGTTTTTTCATAGCCACTAAAAGATGACAAAAGAAAATAGGAACAAATTAAATCTCATAAAATCTTCTAAAATTTAATACAAATTTCGAAAATTCAAATTTTGTCGGGGAAATTTTATCCAGTTAAGGTTCTTTTATTATTCTCGTTGATGTTGCGATCGAAGATTATTTAATTATCTTTTTCAACTGGGAGATCTTTTAAAGGAATTGTAATATCTCCATACATCATTTTGCTTATTTTGGAAGCAAGTAGTGCGGTTGCTTCAATCGAAATGAGGTTGTCATAAATGGATTTCAGTTTTGTTTCATTCTTTTTGCACTAAAATAGTCAGCTCATTGTATCGAGAAATATTTCATTTCTATGACAGATTTAAATTAAATTAAAGAAATTTAACTTCCGGAAATTGAATTTTAACACGTAAAAGAGGAAGTATTTGAGTTGATTTTTTTTCTTTTTTTTTTGGTGACACTATATGGATAGATGGATAGAATTTTAGTCAATAATTAAAATTCACGATCGTTGTTAGTTAGGACAAAAAAAAGCAGTAGAAGTGCAAAACAACATTTAGATACAAATTTATTGACCTGATATATGAGAGAAAAATCTATACTAGGAAAAAGATTCAGGAATAACTTTTTTTTAAAATTCAGGATTCATAAAAAATTAATTCTTGTTTGGCGAATTTTTTTTCTCTTCTTTTTCTTGTTTTCAAAGGATCTAATCAGAAATTTCGGATGATTTGTTGATAAATTAAATTCCGTGTGTTAAATTTCCTTTTGAATTTTTCTTTTTTTTTTTTGTCTCTCTCTATTTTTAGTTTTACCCATGTCAAAGGAGATCTTTTCATTCCTTAAATTGTAATGTATTGAATATCTTTGGTGATCAAAATTGCTGTATATTTTTTCTTTATCATTTAATCATTTCGTTAACAGTATTCACCTATAAAAAATAACAGTATTTAATTTGGATCAATGGAGAAATTTTAGTTTGAAATAATCAATACACATAGATTTCACTGCGTCTTTAACTTAAAAATAGGATAATTTAAAATAAAAAAGAACGCGAGAAGAGCTTTTTCAATGAACTGAAAATAAATAAAAAGACAAAGATTTTGCTTATACGATGTCTAACTACTTTATTCGCTTAATTTATTGAATAAAATAAAAAGTTTTAAGTAACTTTATCATGAAGATTTTAAATTAGTCACGAGATTATCCCGAAAAGTAGGATTTCCGATCGATAGTTTTCCTTTTTTTTTCTTTTTCTTGAAACAATATTTTTCATATATTCCGGAAATTCTCTTTAAAAAAGAAAATTTTCGGTTTACTTGTAAATTTCGAACAAATCGGAAGAAAAATATTAGCACAAACTTTTGTATGAACAAATAAAAGCGATAAAAAATGAAAAACGAGAACAAAAAAAAAAAGAAATCAGCTGAACGAATGAAAGATACAGTAGAAAGGGAAGTATAATGTAAAAATGAAGTATTATTTATGGAAAACGAAAAGTGTTCCTTTTTTTTTTTAAACATACTTTCTTTTTTTTTTTTTTGTAGAGAGAAAGGGTTTTATATAGCATTTTATGGACAGTGTTTCTATAGCATTGTTTTTATTGCTTATATTTCTTCCTGCTTGTTTAATTGGAATCATAGGGAAGAATTTTTTTTTTTTTTAGAAATACATTCTATTCTTGAAGGACATGAATTTTTATCTTATCGTTCATTTTTTCGTAACCAAAAATAGCAAGAAATTTGAACTTTTTTTCTTCCTTTTTTTTTTCCTGAAATGTCTTCTTTCTTTTTTTTTCTTGTTCTTTTTAGGGTAAATTCATTTGCTAAATTTATTTAAATTTTAATTTTATTTCGTTTTGTTTTTTTATTTTATTTCATTTCATTTTTACTTCATTTTACATTATCTCTTACTTTATTTTATTTTATCTTATTTTTACATGTAATAATAATTATCATTATTAATTGAATGGCGGATAATGTAAAACAAGAAATTCTTTACTCTTTAGATCACTTTTTCTCAATAGCATTTATTTATAAATGTTAAAATACCAATCCGAAAATTAAAAAAAAAAAAAAAAAACAAAAAATGCATTGGGCAATAATCATTGTTAAATTATAAAGTATTTATAGCAGTAGCAGCTCAAGACGCAATGAAAATACTGACAAGAAGATAAAATTGATAGCATCACATGAAAAGTATCGCGTTAAACTGCAACAATTTACAGCATGTTCGTTGAAAATTCGAAAGGTCAGTGTATTTTTGTTCATTTCCTAAGAACGAAACGAGCTACTTCTCTCTCCTTCTTTCTTCTTCCTCTCATTTTTCAAAATGTGAAGTACAACGGAAGAATTGTTTTGAAAAGCTAATAAGCATTACAAATGTTACCGAAATTTCTCTAACATTAAATACTTTTCGAAATTCTTTAAAAAAAAAATGTTGTTACATAATATTTTTTCACAATCCTTTTCAATGTTTTTTTTTTTCGAAATAAAAAGGAATTTCATAATTTTTAAAAATGTAATTCTGACTGACTGTTGCTGTATTCTAAGCCCTGTATACTTTTTTTCCACTAATATTTTAATTAATGGATGGAATAAAACAAATGCTTAAAAGATAACATAGTAATTTACCTCTGTAAAAGATGAATTATATGTTGATTCTGCTAATAGAAATACCAATTCTTGTAATCTTCTTGCAGATTTCCTTCTAATTTTCCTCATCCAAATTTCATCATTTATTTTATATGAGTAAGCATTTAACTTTATGCATATGTTTGTGTCACTTTCTCAATGAATTCATTTGTACAAATTGGTCAAGAATAATTTAAGCATTTAATGATGGTCAAATTGAAAATTTGGTGAAATTATTAGTAATGATATAAAAAAAATCAATAATTTCCTTTTTCTTCCTAAAATTATTTAAATATTCAAGTTTTCAAATTTAAATTCAAATTTTTGTCGAAAATTCAAGATGTGGAAAATGGGTCGCTTACCAAAATATATTAATTTATCAGCATATGATGGACATGCAGTGAAAACACTGGTAGGATATATTCAAAATGATGATCAGAGAAGTATCACATTATCATTTTATGCACTGGCCGATCTAATTGATTTATCTCGATCATTGCTAATGCTTGGCTTACTTGAACAACTCGAACACGTACTATTTTTCTAATATACCTTTTATTTTCCTAACAATTTAGGCTTGTTGTAACTTTTAAGACACAATTTAAAGTATTCTCTCATCAATTATATGAAAATACTATCATTGAATATTGCAAAAAAAAAAAAAACGAACACGGACAAACTATCTTAGAAGTTATAGACAAGTCGAAGAAACATTAAACTGTGCCTTAAATAACTAATTATTGCCGAAATCTGAAAAGCAGGTTTTTTCATTAATAAGATAGCGAGAGAGTAAAATTTATATTTGACAATTGATTTGGTGTCAAGCAATGAATTGCTGAGTAACCTATCAGCAAAATTTTTAAGAGATAACTTTTTTATCATGATAAGAGGTCGATAAAGATGATGAGTTTACCTAAAAAAAAAAAAAAAAAGCCTGCCATGTATATACAAATAACGCCTGCCGTATATATACAAATAATTATATATACAAATAACGTATTTATCAAAAATACAAATGACGCCTGCCGTATATATACAAATAATTATATAGACAAATAACGTATTTATCAAAAAATACAAATAACGCTTGCCGTATATATACAAATAATTATATAGACAAATAACGTATTTATCAAAAAATACAACTTAAATTGTTTTGTTAGGAAGTTTCGAATGTAATGAATGATTGAGCAATTCTGATTCTGTTTCTTCAATTTTTATATGAAAATTACAATGCTTTGTTAATGAGAAATAGAAAGAATTATGAATATTCTGTTTAATGTTGTTAAAAGGAATTCGAATTGAATTTTTAAGTAATTTGAAACGACCAAATCATTTAAAACTATTATCGAAGTTAAAATATTTAGCCCATTGGTCTAAAATTATTTTGTCATTTATCAAACTTCAGAGTATCGAATTTTCTTCTATTCTTTACGATTCTAAGTCATAATAATAAATAGATTAGCCTTATCCAATGGCAAAAATTTTTTTTTTTTAAAGATTCTTGTCGAAATTGCGTCACAGAAAACGGACTACCTTATTCAAGCTCTAATTATTGTGGGTAGTGAACGTTCAATCTTTGGTGGTATAACCGCTCGTCAAAAAATTGAAAGAATTGCAGCGACGAAATTCCAAGATATTGTGCAACATAAACTTTTTGGTCACATACCGCCAATCATTTTTGCAAATGTCATCTCCAGGTAATATCAATTTTGTAAAAAAACTTTTAGTTTGATAGAAATTTCTGAATTGAAGGCAGTAATTAAAAGCGTTGACAAATGACAAATAACTCATTTTATGCAATTAATGCTTACACGACATCCACAACCAAACTTTTTGATATTAATAGAATAGAATAGAAATGGTATCCGTTTTGTGATATTAGAAAAAATAAAAGTAAAAATGAATATCTTTCAAGATTATATTTGCATATTCTTTGATGGTATTGACATTATTGTGGAAGTTTAATTAAATTTCTTTTTTAATTAAAGATCTGAAATTGTAGATGCGACTTGAACGTTGAGAAAGAAATAAATGTAGTAGATGCTGCAATCGTATGGATTTGGCAACAGGAAAAATCTCTCATTAGCAGTGCTTTAGTTTTTTCTCGTATCCGTTCAGCATTTCTAAGTCATGGCGATCGTAATTCCATTCGAGAACGTCTCAGAACTTTACCAAATGGAGAAAAATTAAGAATTTCTTTTTCATTCAAGCTTTTTTTTTTTTTTGTTATTTAAATTCCAACAAAAATTGTTCAGAGTTCAATAAATTGTAGCATTATATGTTTTTATATATTCCTTTTTATGGTTGAACTTAAACGAATTTCTGAATAATTGCTACATTTTGTTATTTTTACGTAAACAAAAGTTAACAACAAGATCTAAATATTATTGAGACATTGACCTAACATTAAAGAATATCGTGCATTGGATAACAGTATCATCCGATGTTAGCTTTCCTGATACTATGACTTTTCATCGGATGACACTGTTACCTTTTCTGATACTATGACTTTTCGTCGGATGACACTGTTACCTTTTCTGACACTATGACTTTTCATCTGATAACACTGTTACCTTTTCTGATATTATGACTTTTTGTGTTAAAAGTTATTCAAAAAAAACGGTTTAAAATGTTAAAAATACTGAAATATCCCGCGATATTTAAGATGAATGAGTACTGAAAAATAGATAAAGCAGTTGGTAGTATATTTATATTTGACTTATTTCAGATAATTCCATTCATTATGACCATGTTGTCAAGCACATTTTGTCGTCGTTGCTGTGTTATCAAAGAGCATACTGATAAAGGATTGGTACGCTGCGGTATACCTGGTCCATCTGATGATATAACTGTCGATCTTCACAAACTACCTTTGTTAGTTAAATAATAGACATTTGATCTTATTAAATTAAATAAAATTCAAAATTGGGAAGGTAAATGTACTCTTTTTGCGTAATGTCACTAATTGATTTTCTTACAGAAATTCTGAAGAACTTTTTAAAAAAAGTTGTGAAGTCTAAAAATAACTCTATGCATATTTGTTTAAAATCATTCCTTGTTTTAAACAATGTCCAATTCCTAGTTCTATTGGACAGACCATCCTTAACAAATATTTTCCCTCAAAAATTTTCGGATTTTACTTTAAAATCTAAATTCGTGGTCATTTCAGATCAGGAAAACTCTCAATTAAGCAAAGTATGTTTCCCCAATTTTGCATATTACCCTTTTCGTAGTACATCGATTTGCATTGGCTTTCTAATGCATTCAACTTCTCCTATCTTATGTCATATGCCATGTTTGACGTTTGACATATGGCAAAAGGTCATACCAGTCACTATACCGGTCATCATGTTTGAGCTTGAGTTCGCAATAATATAATACTCACGGAAATAATTTCGATTACTTTTGAAAATATATCCTCGCATAATTGGCAATTTCATGTTTGTTTGCGTTCAAACTTCAAGCTTTATAAAATGCAAAAGAGTTGAGAACTTCAATGATGGACAAAAGGCAGTTGACCATTTATTTGTCATTAATTCCAACCATTCAAACATGACACATATTTCCGCTAATAAGTATTTGTTGAAAACAAATTAAGACAACATGAATGTACATATAAGGTAGCACATTTTAATTGATTCGTTGTGATTAAGTGATTTGCAACGTGAGAAACAGTATTTCATTGATAAATTAAAGCATTGAATTTTCTTCATAAGCTATTTCTGTAAGGAACTTGGCATGCGAAAGAAATTTGTCACACGTCACATTTATCACACGTCACATCACACATCACATTTATCACACGTCACATTTATCACACGTTACGTAAAAATAATTATTTTCTTCAAAAACAAATAATCATTTTAGTAAATTCAATACATATTAAAAATGATATTTTTAAAGTATTAACATAATTTCTATATTAATTAATTCCATCAAACAAATAAGTACTCTTCCGCGATTAACTGATTATTAATTGTTTGAGTACAAATTATGTGCACTTAACGTGCTCCCAAATTAATAGCTATTTACCAAAATTATGCAAATATCGAACTGGCCAACTTATCTGGTATTTGCATATTCTTTAGGCTATTATAAGTTTTTGAAGTTTAAAATAATACTGTAATACTGTTAGATCTTCATAAAAAGAATGTTTTAAAATTTGATAGGCGGAATAATTGGTAATGATTGAACTATCGGTACTTCTAGAAAAGACTAAGTAAACATTTATGCAATACCTACTTAATTTTAAAACATTTTTGACCAGTAAATTGAACATTTACAGTATCAAGATCGAATATACTTTACTTTTATTACAGTACTTTATCTTAATTTCATTTCAAATAATGACCTTTACAGGTGGGAAAGATAGCAGCAAACGGAAGAGAAGCAGCGAACAATCGGAAAAGAAGGCAAAAACTGAAAGCCGGAGTTACGAGAAAGAAGTTCGTGAAAAATTGAAAGCGAAATTGGTCGAAAATGATGTAGAATCATCAAAGTCCATTCGATCAACATTAGCATCGAAATCAACAAAATCCGATAAGTCCAAGGTACATTAGCTTGACTGATTTACCTGAATTGACCAGTTAAGAGCTACTAATCTTAAGTTGGAGTGTCCTTCGTTTTTCTGCTAAATCCTTTCTTAAGTACAATACATACTATTTTGATGTCCTTTTCAATGATTT